ACACACACACACACACACACACATGAACTTTCCATGGACTTCCAAAAAATGTCTACAACCTAACCATAACCCCTAACTTCACAAACACCAAAATCCTAACCTAAACTCAAACTTTAAGCCTAAACCTAACCCCTGACCCACAAATGGGTTTTTTCCATTGTGTACACCAGGCAAATGTCCACAGAATGACAAGTATAATGTCAAAATATGTCCACACTCCAAGACAAAAACATGTTCACACACACACACACACACACGCATCCTTGTACTTGCATCAAACTGAGGACATTTGGATGACTTCCATTCATTTTTGTAACTGTGTTTATGCCTAACTTAGATATTTTCCCTAAAACTAACAATTACCAGCCTATATCTAACCCTAACCTGAACCAAATCTTAATTCACACAACTCTATACCTAACTAGTAAAGCACAGCAGAACTGCAAACAAAGTGAGGACATTGAAGTGGTCCTCACTTTACACAAAATACCGTACCTCACTTTGACAGTAACTATGTCACAAATGGTCCTCAATCTGTATTAGAAACAAGTACACACACAAACACAAGTTACAGTCTGTTTATTTTGTTCCTCATCAAAGAGAAAAATTAAGTAGGTCCTCTGAACAGGTTGAACGTTTTGTCTCACTTCAGTCCAGAGGACCTATATTTTTCTTTTTGATTTTTCTTCCTGGATTACTGAGATGCATCAGGACAGTTGTTCMTTATATTTTCATGCCTTTTTGTGATTCCACATGTCATCTTCACAAAWTGTGTATATTTTGCTGCCATAACAGCTCCTTCGTTTTTGGTTAGTAATAAAAAGCACTGCAGGGACGGCTGGTATAAGCTAGTGGAGCTAAGCTCACCCCGTTTACAATTGACAGATGTTTTATCAAGCCCTCTCTGTTTGCTGCTCATTGGGGCCAATGAGGGTGGATGAACAATAACGTGCCTCGAACACGAGGGCATGTGGGTGTGGTTTGGCGTAAACTGAGGTACGAAGATTAAATAAGGTGGATTATTTCATTTCTCGCCYGTTTTCTTTCATGTCTTTGGACACAAAACTGGAAGTGAAGAGGTTGGGGGTTATCAGACCAAAGGGTATTTAAATCCAGCAAAAGAAAAAGCAGCAAAACCAAAGTTTTTCTGTGACCTGGATTCAGCGAAGGGACTGGCTAATGGTGAATGGACTATGCTTATTATTTAGGCATCTTTCAATCCATCCAGGACACTCAAAGCACTTTACACTTACATTCACACCACACTCTGATGATGGCAAACTACATTGTAGCCACAGCTGCCCTGGGGCACACTGACAGAGGCGAGGCTGCCATACACAGGTGCCACCATCTGACCACCATCAGAAGGCAAGGTGGGTGAAGTGTCTCGCCCAAGGACACAACGGCATGCGGGCATGGCGGGGAGTCAAACCTGTGACTTGCTGGTCCCAAAGCAAGCTGCTCTACCACTACACCACAGCTGCCCGATAATGGCATGTGTTGCTAACAAATATTTTTTTTGCTTTCTGTGTTTGCTGTTTTGCTAGTCCACGCCTCAAATATCACRACCAGACACCAATGAAAATTTGTTGATTTTGTTCAGCTCCTCGTGTCGGAGCTGCTTTCTGGGTCCACAGCTTCCACTAATTGTGACACTGGGTGATTGATACAGCAGGTTTCAATCACCTGATTGAAACTTACTGATTGCTGAAAACARCTCTAATGTAGTAAACAAAACTTTTCCTTATTTTCCTTTTGTTTTAATATCAGTCCTTTAAATCAGCAGAGSCACACTAAAGTTCTGCACCACAATGTGACCATTAGGCCTTTCCCACAGCAGACATTGCTGCAAAAATGCAGATAAAAATARTCATTTTAGCAAAATTACAATTAAGTGGCTCGGTAAGTTGTGTTTCAGTGACTGATGTATTGAGAGAATCTAAAAGAAATGCAGTCATTAATTAAAACTAATCAGGTACATAGAATTAGAAAAACACTCAAAAATAGAAAAAAAACTAAGGTTAAACACATWTTTGCAGGAAAACATCACACTAAAGTCAGACACTACGAGTAAAACATATTTAATGCAGGCAGCTGTTTCAGGATCTCTTCATATGTTCCCCATCCTTCTTCTCCACATAAACGTAGTCCCACTTCAGGATCAGACAGTGGTTAAGGAAGACGTTTACCTCAAGGTGCTGCCAAAAGAGACCTGGGAAAACCCAAACAGGTGAAACATCACAGTGAGGTTTGGTTCTCTCTCACTAAACACACTAAAGTGTGAAATAACAACCTAAAAGCATGTCTAGTAATTAGGAACAYGTAGTAGAAATAACCTGTTGATAMAGATGGTCCCTACATACACAACAAAAAGCATCAAATTATTGGTATGGTGGTGAGCATTGTGGAGAGTCGACGCCACTTTACTGCTTCCAGACTCTTAGTTCCTGTAAAAGATGAACGGCTTTCAAAACTTAACGATTGCTTCTGTGAATCTTCGCCTGACGACCATCTGTGTCACATTTAATGAAGATTAAAACGCAGAAGAGTTGCCAGTCGTATCGGGAGGATGTGCTGATCAGTTTGGCAGACGGTGAAGATGCTGCACATTTTATTACAGAAGATAAAAGGGGAACATAAAGATGTTTGAACAGAAAGAAGGAGAAAAAAAATATGAAGAGCAGCCAGCTTCTCTTGTTTGGCCCCACTGGTAACACGAACGTTTTTATTGCAGCACATGTCCTGATGTGTCCTCAGGTGGTCTCCACATCATTACGCCTTCAACAGCATCTGTTGGTGCTTCTCGCTGCCCTGGTTAGTGATAAAGAACAACAGCTGGGGCGTGACTTTACAGCTTATTATGTGTAATCAACATATGCAGCTATTAAGGAGACCATGTGATTAGCTTTGCAGAACTAAGATAAAGAGACTCATATACACTGCTTATTTCACAGATAATTTAATTTCTATGGATTCATACTAGCTTTTAAATTTGTAATTGAACTGTTCATAAAACCAACATTGTGCACTCAAGTGCCCTGGGCTACCCATTAACTTCAGTTAATGCTTATTTTCCAACATGAATGCCTCAGTAAACACTACCTTAYGGTTCATTGAAAAGTTAAATCATTTTATTTTCCTACAGCACACATCTTATTTTWTTTAAAAGTCCTTTCTGAGGGTTTGAACCAAAACGTTACCACAAAAAATAAAAATAAAAAAAGACATTGACATCCTCTTTAATTGCAGCGTGTCAACAGAATCCATACTTTTTTTTCTGAGAATTCATTGTAAAACTTTTTTTTAACATCACAGGAAGCATAGTTAAATAAAAACAGTTGGGGGAAATTGTGCTTGTGTCGTGCTTTTTACAGTACATGCAGCAACTGCAGGTTTAGGTTACCAATTCCTCTTTAATGTGTTCACATTGTAAATTTATATTTCTAACATGCATTACAAAAACTGTTGTCAGTTTTTTTATTGAATAAAATCTGGTAATTGAAGTATCTAGTAAATTATGGTTCAGCTATTTTGACTGGGCTTCTGTGGAAAAGCTTTAAAATGTTATATTGTTGCTGTTGCAAATAGCTTTTTTTAACAACTTCAGTTTGGGGAAATAGAGTTTAATTCTGCAGACAAATTGAATAATGGGTGTTCTWGTCATGGTCTGTGGTTTGCCCCAAGAATGCAGATTGACTGAAGGAGCTTGAATAAAAAAAATTAAATAAATAAAAGGATTTATTTGGGAAACAAAACAAAAGGCTGACGTGGCGGCAATTACTGCAAAACAAAACTCTAAGACACGAATATGGTCTGAAGCTTACACAATGGCTAGACTGAAGGATAGTGAGAACAGAGGGAATAAAAAGGCTGGGGCTAATGAGGGAGGTGGCTGCAGCTGAGAGGAATAGGAACGGAGAACAGGTGTAGGTGAGCGCGTCAGGACAAAAACAAATGAAAACCGGTGCTGGTGAAACAAACTGCTGGCACAGAAAAAAAAAAAACAGAGGCACAAAAACATAAAATGGAGAAAATACAGTACACTRCCAAAATAAAATAACAAAAAAACAGGAATCCTTACAGCACAGCTAAAACCAGAATGGATTTTTGCTGATGGGAAACAAATCCAATTTTWAAAAAACTTCATAGCGATACATAAAAATGTTTGGTTACCATTATTCTATATTTACATGCAATTGGGAACATTAGAAACAGCACATCCTTGGGGCACTTCTAGGAGGAATTTAATGTTTCTGCAGGAATAACCAATTAATGTGAAATGGGAGTGTAAAGGTCTATAAAATAGCATCAACAGCTGTAAAATATTAACATTTGTTTTGGAACTACTTGGGCTATATTGATGAGCTCATAGCCCAACTTCAAGGTGAATTTCACTTTTTTATTATACGTTTTATAATACCTTATATTTTTTTTCTAATCTGAGGTCCAAAGACCCATCTACAACAATTAATTGGTTTTCCATTTCCAGACGCCCACCTCAGAAATGACTGACTATCCAATGGCTTCCAACATTTAGCAGCTTCAGATGCTGCCTCTTTTTAGTAAACCTATAGTAGAAAACACTACAGATCATTATTTATCAGATTTTTTTTGTTCCAACATTTTCTCTGTCACTAGCTTGTGTTTATAAATGTTCCAAACAGCAACAAAATGTTTGCAATAACCTTTTTCTACCAGCTGGTGAGATGAAAACTGAGCAGGAAAAAAAGATACATGATTACGTTTCTCAGTCTCAGTTTCTCAGCCTCTACAGCTGTGTGTGTGTGTGTGTGTGTGTGTGTGTGTGTGTGTGT